CACGACGCTCTCCGATCTCCCCAAAAGGCACTTATTTTACCAATTCGAGGTAGATTTGGGGGCCAATGGGCGTAACCAGGGTCTGACACTACCCCCCCCCAGGAACGAGTTGATGGGAACCCTTCTGCTCGATTTTTCCGTTTTCCTTCCACTTCCCCATGCTGGAAACGCGAAACCTGAGGTTTTTAAACATCCCACTCCGAATCCAGTGATTTTTCCTCCCAAACTGGGAGACCTTTTGCTGTCCAGAAATGAGGATTTTTCTCCCTTCGAGGGCTGGGGGAGGATCCCGAGCCGAGGAAAACGGCGTTGGAGAGGCAGCGGTGCCAGTGGAAAAGGAGGAACCGGCTCTGATTTTCCTTTGGGACACCCATCCCGCCACAGGAATGGCCAGAAACGCCAGTTTCTCCCCAAAACAGTGCCTGGGAAGCAACGGGAAGTCAGGACAATGCTCATCATGAACGGGAGCTATGAGGGGAAGTTTTCCCACCTCGGAAACCCCATAATCCCACCGACTGCACCCCCCTCCGTCTTTGTTAACCTCCTAATTAACGACTTTGCCCAGGATTGGACAAAATCTGCCAGATTCCCCTCATTTTTGAAGGTTAGGGGGACCCAAGACTTTTTCCTAAAGGATTGGAGATTTGTCCTGAAGATCTGGGAACACCGGAGAGGAGGCAGCACCGACCGGGATCGGGATTTCCTGGAGCTGTGGAATTTCACACTGGGGGGCAGCCCCCTGGGAGGCTCAAAAATAGGAGGAAACGGCCACAATCGCCACCCAAAAACAGTGAAAGTGGGAAAAAAACCCGCACCAAACCCGGATCCGCCCCCAGCTGCCCTGGGCCAAAACAACCCCAAAACGGATTAAAATCCTCATTTAAATCATTTAATGGTGGCCGGGGGCCAGCAGAACCTGCGCAGGGCTGGACCCCCCGGGCTACTCGGCAGGTGTTTGATTTGGGGGAAAAAATCCGATTTTAAGGTGATGGAGGCGCTTTCGGAGTGTTCGGAGTCGCAGTCAGAACCTGCCCCGGCTCCGCTGAAGGAATTATTGAAACAATCCATAAACCAGCCCAAAAGAAGCTGGAATTGTGGATTTTGGGGAGGGTGGGTGTCTAACCTCCCAGCTCGGAAGGACACGGATGTAAACACGGTTCCATTGTGCTTTTTTTGGGGTGTTTACACCAGGAAAAAGGGCCTGGGGGGCCACCCTGGGGCCAGGCTTCCGCAGCCCTTCGTCCCGGAGACTCCGGTGACGCTGAAAAGGACCCAAACTTGTAAATAAAAGAAGAAAAAAAACCCCACCTTTGAAAGGTTTGAACCTTGGAAAAAACACCCAAAAGAAATGCTTTGCCTTTCCCAGCAGCCAAAATGGAATTTAAGGCTGAAAAAAGGCTCTCCCTGCACACACACACCCCCCACACCCCCCTGAGTTGATTTTCCACGGCTTTAACTTGAATTTTGGGCTCCTCCACCTCGGGAAAAAGGGAAGAACCAAGGAAAAGGGGGAGAAAATCAAGGAGAGGGAGAAGAACTCAGAAAAAGGGCAAGGAAAAATTGGTGAAATGGGGAAGAAGTGAGGAAAAGGGGGAGGGAAAAGGGAAGAGCTGAGGAAAAGGGGAAGAAGGGAGGAAATAGAGGGACGGGGTTGAGGAGATGAAGCTCCCGGGGGAGTGGGGGCAGCCCCGGACCCCCCCAAATTCTCCCTCCCTTCATGATCACCACCTTCCTGTTAAATAAATGGAGGAGGGAGGGTCCCTGAAATCCATCTTCAAACACACGGTGCGGGGGGAAAAAGAGGAGGAATAAGCAAAAAAAATGGGGATAATTGGGCGGGCTGTAAAATCTGAGGGTTTTTTTGTCGTTATTTTGCCAGAGAGTGAGTTCCTACCAAGGGGAGAATTTGTTTTACGGCGTGAGGAGGTCCTGGTTATGATTTTTGACCCCTTTTTTTTGTTGTTGTTTTTCTCCCAGGTTTTCTGAGCGGCCGTGGCCATGTTCAGCAAGAAGAAGAAGCGCTTGGAGATCTCGGCCCCTTCCAACTTCGAGCACCGGGTCCACACGGGCTACGACCAGCAGGAGCAGAAGTTCACGGGGCTGCCCCGGCAATGGCAGGGCATCATCGAGGAGTCGGCCAAGCGCCCCAAGCCTTTGGTGGACCCCGTCTGCATCACCGCCATCCAGCACGGCTCCCAGAAGGTAAAGGCAGAGCTCCCCCACACACACCCCTTCACACACCCCCACCCAGCTTTCTGAGGCCGGAAAGGCAAGATTTGGGGAGTTTCAGGCTCCGGGGCTCTCTCCCCTGGGTGCCGTGGAGGAGGTAAGGTGACAATTTGGTGTTCCCCCCCACCTGCCTCTTCCCCGTTAAGGGCAGGAACGGGGTGAAACCTTTCCCAAGTCCTCCCGGCAGCAGGAAACACCCCCCCTCCCCCTTCCAGGAAAATACCAGGAAAACACCAGGGAAATGCCAGGAAAACACCAGGAAAAGGGTGTCTCTTCCTTCCCGTCTCATCCCTGTGTGTCCCCCACCCGCCCTTATGTCGTTATTTATTGTCCCCTCGCCCCAATTGGGGGTCCCCACCCCTGTCCCTGCCCCCACCCCGTTCCTGCACCCCAAACTCTCTGCCCTCACCCTAATTAAAGCCCCCAGCTCTGGCCACGGTTGCCACCAGTGGCCTCGTTGGGCTCTGTTTGCCCTGGTGGCTGTGAGTCACGGCGGCTCCAGCCCTTCCAAGCTGCACTGCTGTTTTTCTGCTGACCCAAAATCATCCCAAAACCACCCCAAAACCCACGGGGGTGCTGCCATGGCCCCATGGCCACTGCGGGGGGTTTGTCACCCAGGTCCGGGCTGGGTTTTCCTGTGGAGAAAATGGGAAAATAACCTAAAAGGGGGTGGTAAGAGAAAGAGGAGGAAGAGAAGGGGATGCTTTAGGCCAAGGAAGGCTCCCTCCTCTTCCAAGGGAAGCGAGAGGCCTCAGGATGGGGGTGTCCCCCACTGTTCCCCTCCTCCCTTGCTGCTGGGGGCACCTTCCCAGGCTCAAATCCCAGGAAAAGGGGCACATCCCTCCCCAGCCCAGCCCAGTCTGATACTGGGAGCTGGGGGAACCTCCCCCAGCACAGCCTGCAGCTCCCCAGTTTGGGTTTCCCACCCGGCTGGGACCTGTCTCCTGGCATCAGGCTTTGTTGTTCCCTGCTCTTCCCATCCGGGAGAGGCTCGTTAACCTTGGGCTTTAACGAACCACAGTGATGTCCCCCCTCCCTTCTCCACAGGCCCCGGCCGGGACCAAAACCTGGGCTAATAACAGGGTTTTGGGGGTGGGGGCAACAGTGGCCCCTTCCTCAGGAGCCCCCCTTCCCTATAAGCGCCCCAGCCCCTTCCTCATGAGCCCCCCAGCCCCCTGAGCCCCCCCCTCCTCTGCCCAAAAGTTTCTGGGGGACGCGGTGCCTCTGGCCCGTCCCCCTGAGGGTAAAAAGCTTGGGGGGTGTGGGGGGAAAGGCAGAGGGCCCTCCCCTTCTCTCCCACCCTCCAGCACCCTCCTC